GTAGTCATTAAGGCCTCTTCACCGAGATACCCATATGGCTCATTTCCTCCCCTCCTTCAGGTCTCCACTAAAATTTCTAGTGAGACCTTGAAATACACTGTATTGGAAGTTGTAACCCTACCTTTATCTTTCACTTTTCTTACCCACCTATCCCAGCTTTGATTTTTTTTTTTTTAATTAGATTTACCTCTACCTAGTAAATTACATCTTTAACTCATTGTCCTCTCTTTCTTTACTGGAACATAAACCTCATGAAGGCAAGGGTTTTTGCCTCTTCTATTCACTGCTGTATCCTCAATGACCAAACAATGTATAATATCTGTAGCTCTCAATTATTTAATTTTTTTTGTAAAGAGATTTTTTCTATAGGCTGTGTACACTCACGGGAGAGATAGAAAGTGAGAAATCACCCCTGGGAGGATGGCCATGCCACAATTCCTTCTTCTCCATTCTCCGCTCAGGATTTTGGGCATGCATGTACACGTGCCCAGCATGAGTTTAAGTCGCTGGGTCTGGGACCTGAATCACAGTCAGCCGCATGGGAGTTCAGTGACATAACCATTATGCCATCTGCTGTTTCTGGCACTCAATTATTTAATTTATTGAATAAATAATCAATTCAGGGAACAATCAAGAGATGTTACCAGGAACATGAGTTATGAACCCCAAAAGATATATATAACTCATCTCTTCTCTTGGACAGGAGTGCAAAGAATGTCTACTGGCTTTGAACAACTAAGCAAAGTAATGACAAAAGACCTATCATACATAGGACTACCATGCGCTCGGCCCAGGTCTAAGAGCTTCATATATATTACCTGGTTTAATTCTCTCAACTGCCTGTAGGTAGCTTCAGTTACAATTTTACAGATGAGGAAACTGACACAAAGTGATATTAAGTAATGTTTCTAACAGGACTAGTTAGTTAGTTAGTTAAGGTCTTGCTAGGTCTAGATGCTCCACTGGGACTACAGGCACGCACGGTCACACCAAGCCCTTTCACAAAGGGTCTTACTATACTGCCCAGGACAGCCAAAGCTTGTGATCCTCTTGCCTCAGGCTCCTAAGTAGCTGGGACTACAGACACACATCACCATGCCCAGTTTTTAGGTAATCAAATCAGGGCCTCTCATGTGGTTGCAGACTTTGGAATAGTAGGTTCTCCGGTACATGTTACCAGCTGGGTTCAAGGTCTGTCTTCTTAAACTCCACTTCATACTACCTCTTGAATGTTCTTTGCTGTGATATACAACACTGGTGAGAAAGAGAGATCTTCAGAAAGTTCATGAAAAATGTGTATTATATAGGACCAGCAGATGGTGTAATTACATCACTGGACCCTCACATAGTTAACTATGGTTCAAGTCCCAGATCCAGTGGCTTAAAACCAATGCCAGGCACATGTGTATGTGTGCCCAAAATCCTGAGAGGAGGATGGAGGAAAAGGGGTTGTGGCACAGCAATCCCCTGGCAGGGGGTGTGGGTGATTTCTCATTGTCTGTCTCTCTGTCTCTTTGGTTACCACATGTACCCTATAGCAAAAACTCTCAAAAAATGTGCATTATAAAAAAACCCATGTATCAATTTTACTTTTTTTTTTGCGCCAGAATATATTCATACTTTAACTTTTTGAAGTCCCTTCATAGAGCCTGAGAAGAGGGAAAGAAGTATGAAATAGCTAGAGGAAGCTCAGTAGGGAGTCCACTAGGAAAAATAATGAAAATATTAAATAGCCTTTTCCTTCCACTTGTTGAAGGCCTGGATACAACCAAGCTCTGTCATTCTGAGGCAGGCTCCATTAATTGGTAAAGTCACTTGATCTTCTGTGGCAGTAGCAGTAAAAAAAAAACATAGTTGGGTTGGTAGGTGATATGGCAGTTAAGGCGGCTGGATCCTACACAGTTGACTGTGCAGTTCAAGTCCCAGACCTGGTGGCTTGAAAAACATACTGAATGCATGTGCATGTATGCGTGTGCCCAAAATCCTAAAAGAAGGGATGGAAATGGGTTTGCAGTGTGACCATTCCCTATGGCAGGTGCTTTTTCACTTTCTCTCCTTCTCTCTCTCTCAATCTCTATCTCTCTCCTACAAGTACATGCATCCTCCAGTGAAAATAAATAAATAAATGAATGAATAAATAAATAAATAAATAAATAAATAAGCAAGCAAGCAAGCAAGCAAGCAAGCAGCACATGTGGGTTGGGGGGCAGGCAGAGTGGAGGTCCTAAAAGCAATCTGAGGGTCAGCCTGTAGCAGAGTGGATAAATGCTGTGCACTGGGAGCCAGACCCCACATGGTCAACTGTGGTCAGAGTCCTGGCCCAGCAGCTTGAAAATCATGCTGAGCACATGTGTGTGCCTGCCCAAAAGTCTGAGGGAATGAAAAAGTGGAGGAAAGAGGATTGTGGCATGATCACACCCCACTCGGGGAGTGCTCTCTCTGACAAGCACACATGCTTTCTGGCAAGTAAAAGGAAAAACTGACCTTATTGAGGTGTAATTTAAATATAAGTAAATGTACCCATTAAAAAAAAGAGAAAGCAAGCAAGCTAAGATGAAAACTCATTTGAATAATTGAGCCGGGAACCCTGGAGCAAATTAAAGAACTATCAGAATCGACTCAGGGACTCAAGAAATAGAAGTCACTATGACAAGAAAGAAGATTCAGAAGCAATGTAATATAGGAGACATGGACAGATAGGCATAGTCAGAAAAAGAGATTCGGTGTTCAGTATCTGGGAAACGCACCAGGGAACTGTCCAGAGGGACAGGAACCATCTGAGGCAGGCCTGAGTTACTGAGAACCAGAGCTGAAATCTCCTCTCACCCTTCCCCAAACCATTATCTATGTTGATGCTTCAAATTTCCACAAGCCAAGACAAAGCTCTTCTTGCCACAACTAACTGTAAGGTGTTAAAATTAAAATAACCCTATGAGAGATAATTCAATGACTTGCATTAGTCCTTAAGTAGGTTTCTAAGTTCCTTCCTTAGAGCTGTTTTAGACATTCAGAACTCTCTGTAGGATCAGGTTGGGAGAAAAGGGTGTCTGAAAAAGGTGGTGGCTAGTAACCTATCAGGTCTACATAGATAGACTTGTTGGCAATTTTAAAAAGTGGCAACTAATCTTGATAAACCAAGCATTTTCTAATAATGAAATCATATGCTTTTGTAGATGCCCTCACAAAATATCACTAGGCACAGCTACTAGCAAATTCTGACACAAGCTTCTGGGAGTCAGTGCCTCAGGAACAGGGGGCGCAGGGGTGATCAGGCCCATACTCGCAGTGAGACACGGGTTCTTGTCCCATGCTCAGGAAGAATTAGTCGTGGACACAAAGCGTAGGTATAGCAAAGCGGGGAGTACATTTTTAGGGTCCCTTTCTCCTACCACATCAGTATATTTGTTTTTACTTTACGGTCTGGCAAATTCTTCTTATTTAATACCTCGGGGGGGGGGGGGGCAATTTACCGCCGGGGGGGGGGGGGGACAATTATTGTAGCAGCACCGAGAGGCACTGAAAGCAAATCATCTTTAAGACTTATAGTGATGTATGAATAGATATACAAAATGTGGCATTTACATACAGTGGAATGTTACTCAGCCTTAAAAGGAATGAAATGTTGATACAAGTTACAAGATGTATGAACCTTAAAAAAAATTCTAAGTGAAATAGGTCGGACGCAAAAGGACAAATATTGTATGATTCTACTTTTGTGAGGTACCAAGAACAGTCAGATTCACAGAGACAGGAAGTAGAATAGTGGTTACCAATGGCTGCGGGAGGAGGAATGGGGAGTTATTACTCTGTAGGCACAGAGTTTTGGCTTGAGATGAAGGAAAAATTCTAGAGATAAGATACTATCTCTAGATAGTGAATGGTGAATGTTGTACAGCATGAATGTACTTAATGTCACTAAATTTTATACTTAAAAAAATGGTTAAAATGGCACCATTTTATGTTGCATGTAATTAACTATGAAAAAAGTTATAAAAAATGAAATAGGATTGCAGGGTTGGTACAATCTATATCCGATGAGAAAGAAACTAGGTGTCTAGGACAGTTTTGTACCTACAACTATTAGATCTGCATTATTAGATCTGTAAGGGGAGGCAGGATGGCCAGGATGAGTGAAATGCTCAACATATTCTTCCAACTTACACAACAAAGTGGGTTTTCAAGATGACTTGTTGAACTGCTCCTTAACTGCAGCAGGGCCTGGCGCTATGGATGCTTTGCTTCCAGTGGCAGCATTGGAGCAGTCTAGGGACTTCCAGCAGTTTCTTCCTTAGAATCACTAAGGAAGTGTTGCTCGTTAGCCCTCAGTGCTCCTTTAGACATAGAATCCTTTGAGGTTAGCATTCTTGCCTGATCCTCTGTTGCCCACTAGAAGGTATTTATTACACAGTGATTGAATAAATATAGATAAAAGTGTGATTTGGTTTATAAAGTACAGAATAGATCATGTCTTCTTACTAATGCTATGTCTAATTGAATGAAATGGTATTAAGAAGGCAGTCTCATAGCCTGGTGGTTAAGAAAGTCCAGATGCCACATAGCTAACTTCGGTTCAAATCCTGGTCCTGGGGGCTTGAAAATCACACCAGGCATGCACCCATGCATGCCTAAAATCCCAACTGAATAGAGAAATGGAGGAGAAGGGGTTTGCCCCAATGGGAGATGCTTTCTTTCTCTCTTTCTGGCAAGTACATGTACTCTCTGGCAAAAAAAAAAAAAAAAAAAGCACGAATACAGATTGAAAATGTGATACTTAATACAAACAGTACAAAAAAAAGCCTGAAAAATTACCCTGAATGTCAAGATGTATTTGCCAGGACCTACTTTCTTGGTGAGGTGAAGGTAATTTTCACTGAAGACAGGAGAGGACTTTAACTTTTTCTTCTTCATTTTGGAAAGAATAGAGTATGGGCCTTTTGTTGCCTGTATAGTTCCTCAACACTTCTAAGGATAAAACAAGGGGTGTACAAAGTAATTCACAATTCAGAAGAATACTGGGTTTATTTGGAATTAAAATATACTAGAAAAATAGTTATTTGTTTCTTTCAATGTTTTTTTCCTAGCTCTAAACCCACTCGCATTTTAGAGAGATGCACTGCGCAGGAGGAAATCTAACTTAAGGCATTAAAAGTTTCACAGATCTGTCCTGGTAGATCGTATTCTGCTGATCTAATCACATTTGATGATTGATTTAATAAATTTAAGTATCTAAGAAATTTTATCAAAATTTTATAAATCTGTTTTCTACAGATGAGTCATTTTTAATCTATGGTACACTGAAAACATTTAAGATTTGTTATTTTGCATTAAATTTAAAAATTGAGATTTGCATTGATGTAACCATGATGATAAGGGAAATTAGAAACCAAACAGAAGTATATTTATAAAAACTGGTATTTCAGGAAAGAATGTAAAGTATTAATAAGAAGCCTTTTTAACGTCTTTGTAAACTGGGGACTATAAAATTACTTTAAGAAGAATTAAGGTTGTTTTCCTACTTACACTCCAAATTACATCAAAGAAAACACTTAGCAATTTTGAGACTTTTACCTCCACAAATTTTAGGTGGAATGCTTTTCAGAATTGTTTTTCTAATCGACATTATATAAAATCTTCTAGTGATAAAAGGCCAAATGTTTACATTCTTCTCAAGAGCTGAATGATGATTATGTATAAACACAGAGGGTATGCCAGTATTCACCATACTGAGTAGAAAGAAATAATTCATTTTCATCATCCATGTATTATACAAACATGAAGTTAAAACAGAACGTTCATTGACGGTCAATACTGTAGATTTCATGTTACGAATAATTCTAAGAACACAAAATTCTGCATCTTCAATAGAAAGTGTACTTTTCTGTTGTGACCACTTCTTCAAGAGTTTTCATTTTGCCTTTGTCTGTTCTTTTTGACTGCAAAGTGCAAAAGATTCCTGAACAAACTGCCTGCACATTGGGCACTGCTGAAAATACTTCACGCAGCCATCACATAGGCACGTGTGTCTACACGGCAAGAGCACCCAGTTCACTGCCCCGTTCTGGCAAACGACGCAGTCCCTGCTATTCTCCTCCGACAGCTCCACTTCACTTTCACTGAGTCCAGCTTTTTCCAACAAACTTCTGTCTGTGTTTTTTTCTTCTGAAGAGGAATTACTGGAGGAAGTGGGATTACTATTTGCAGACATGAAAAGTTGCTGAAAATAAAAAAAAAAACAAGTGTAAAGATCATTACAGATGATAATTACTCTTTAAATCTGGGGGTTATAAGAGCTGCTGAAAATTTATGAGCTAGAAAACCCATTAGCTAAGAAAAAACTAATGGAAAATAAATTTATTTTTATAATGGCCATTCCTTAAAACTGTAAACAAAAGAGACAGAGAGAAGATTACAGAATATAATTTACCTTAAGATCATGAAATTGACCTTGAGCCAGGAGTAAATATTTATATAATATTCTGCAGGAAAGCTTATAAATCTTATCAGGAATATGGATTACTGACACCATGGAAATCTAAAATAAAAATGGAACATTGGTCAATACTTAATCTCCTGATAACATTTTACAAATACGTAAAAAAAAAAATCCAAAAAACAAAAAACACTTCTCAAATGAAATACAGGAGTGATACATTTTAAAATTTAACATTAATCTATATAAATGAGTCATTGAAGAAGAATCAGTTATTGATATGTTTCCCAGAGTCATTTTAATTATACTAAAACTTACAAATGTAATGATTTCAATAAAAATACTAATGATCTTTTTTACAGAACTACCCACACTGACTTTGAGATTCTCATATGGAAAAATAAGCATATAAAAATAGCTGGGAAAATATTGAAGAGAGAGTTATAAAAGGAACTAGCCCAGTCAGATATTAAAACATTCAGAAGTGGAAATGAAAACAGTGTAGTACTGGCACGTGAATAGAGGGATGGCACAAAATAAACAGTGCAGAAGTAGGCCTGGACAAAGAGAATCTCCTTAAAAACTGTATTGGGACAAATGGCTAGGGATTCGGAAAAATATAAAATTAGATGCATTCCTCACACCTTACCTAAGTATAAACTCCAAAGGTGTAAGAGACTTTCCTTCCTTCTTTTCTTTCTTGGCCAGAGGGTCTGTGCACTTACCAGAAGTAGGGGGAGAGGGAGAAAGCGAGAGACTGAGAAAGCATCCCCCCAGTGTGATGTGGTCATACCACAATCTCTTTTCCTCCATTTCTCCTTCCTGTCAGGATTTTTGGCACACACACACATGCACCTGGCATCTTTTTCAAGCTGCCAGGGCCAGGATTCAAACTGTAATTGGGATATAGAATTTGCTTCCCAATGCACAGTATTTAGTCACTGCACTACAGGACTGGCCCAGAAGCATAAGAGATCTAAATGTAAAAATAACACTGTGCAAATACTAAAAGAAAATAGTTAAATTGCTTTATAGTTTTAGTCTAGGGGAAGAGATTCTATAATAACTTTGACTTAAAACTAAGAGACAGATAAGTTTGATATATAACTACATAAAAATTTAAAAAGCTGTATGACTAAAAAACAAGCAAAGTCAAAAGACAAACTAAAGTGAAATATCCGTACATCTACCACAGATTAAGGGTTAATATCCCTAATCTATGAAGAACCTCTAAAAGCCGGAGGAAAAAATTATCAAAATCCTTTAGAAAAGGGGCAAAAAGCTGGGCACAGTGGCATGTGCTTATAATCCTAGTTATTCAGAAAACTCTGGCAGGAGGATGTGAGTACAAGGACAAGAGACTAGAGGAGAAGGGACTGTGGAGTGGCCAACCCCTCAGGGGGGTGATTTCACGCTTTCTGTCTCTGTCTCTCTGGTGAGTAAACAGCCCTATAGCAAAAATCTCTCTCAAAAACAAAAAAGATGTTCGATCAAAATGAAAACACCATTTCTCATGATATTGACCAAAATTTAAAAATTTGTCAATATGTATGAGACCAACAGCGTAACGGCTATGTCGCTGGACTGCCACGTAGTCGACCGCGGTTCAAGTCCCAGACCCAGTGGCTTGGACTCACGCCGGATGTGTGTGTGTGTGTGCGTGCCCAAGATCCCCAGAGGAGAATGGAGGAGAAGGGATTGCAGCATGGCCATCCCCCCGGGGCGTGATTTCTCGCTTTCTGTCTCTCTGTCTCTCTCTGTCTGTCTGGTGAGTGCATGCACCGTATAGCAAAAACCTCTTCAAAAAGAGAAAAAATAAATTTGTCAATATGCTCTGTTCAGAAACAGTCACATATTGTTGGTGAAAATGTTAAATAAAGAAAAAAAGTATGATCCCAATGGAGAGATATTTAACAATATATAACAAAACAATATGCATATACTCTTCATATACCATATACCCAAACAATTTTAATATACATACAAGTTATTCAGTGTAAGATTATTTGTTATTACAGAATACTGGAAATTACCTAGAAGTCCAAGCACAGGAGACTGAATAATTATGGTTTGTGCACACCACATGAAGTGCTATGCAGCTGTTTAAAAGAAAGAAAGGAAGGAAGAAAAATAAAGGTGCACTGGCACCAGGGCCTAGTACTTAAAGGAGCTGGATCTCACATGACTGACTGTGGTTTCAATCTTAGCCCCACTAACTTGGAAAACATGCTGGGAACCTGCACACGCATGCCCTAAATCCCATCAAAATGGAGAAATGACGAAGGGATTGCAGCATGACCATGCCCCATGGGGGAGAGGTGCTTTTCTCTCTCTTACTCTCTCTCTCTCTTTCTCTCCTCTCCCCCTGTCTCTCTCTGGTGAACACAAGTGCTCTCTCACAAAAAGAAAAAAAATAGCCACCAGGTGGCACGGTGGTTAAGGTGCTAGATTCTTACATGGCCAACAAAGGTTTGGCCCTAGACTCAGCAGCTCGAAAATCATGACAGATGTGTGTGCGCCCAAAATCTCAAGAGAAGAATGGAGAAGAAATTGTGGTGTGGCCATACCCCCTGGGGGGGATGGTGAAATCTCAGTTTCCCTCTCTCTCTCTCTTTCTCTCTGGCAGGTCCACACACCCTATGGCAAAAACCTAAAAAAATGAAAATAAGAAAAAAGTAAGGAAGATCTCTGTGAACTGATCTAGAATGATTTCCAGGAGATAAGGAAGAGAAAAAAGCAAAGTACAGAGCCAGGCAGTGGAGTGGGGGTGAAGGCAGCTGAATCCCACAGGACTGACTGCGCAGTCTAACTCCCAGACCCGAGGACCTGAGCCACACACCAGGCATGTGTGGGTGTAGGTGTGTACCCAGGATCCTGAAAGGAGAAAAGGAAAAGGGACTGAGGCATGACCATCCTCTATGGAAGGTGCTTTCTCCCTTTCTCTCTCCAGCAACCACATACACTCTCGGGCAAGGAAAAAAATGGGCAAAGTACAAAAGAGTATGCATAGCATATACAGTGTTCTATCCTTCATGTAAGAAAGGGGAAATGAGAAATATAGGGAGCACAAACCGGAAGCCAAGGAAGATGGTTATCTAGAAGGATTAGAGTGTGCAGAAATGGAGAGGGAGAAATACGGAAGGGAACAACACTTGAGCACATTTTTTTCAGAGTTTTCTAACTTTTGAGAGAATGAATCCAAGTAATTTATGACCACTGGTTGACTACAAACTCTGTGTTGGCAGGAAGCCGGGGTGGGGCGGTTCAAGAACCAAAATAATTAAATTCAGTAATAAATTATAAACCAGTAGAGGCTGGGGAATTCATGAGGCCAGAGAATAACAAACATTAAAAATAAAAGAGACAAATGGGGGAGAAGGGAAGGGAGTTTCTTGCTTTTTGAAGAACTCCAAGGAAAGAATGGATGTAGGGCTGGAGTTAGAAAATAATCATGCTGTAACCAACATGGTGAAAATAAAACCTGGTATAAATCATCAGTGGAGATTAAATCCTGGGGGATATTTTGATAAAAAGTAGGACGTGCACATGCTCTTAAGGTTCCTCCCCACAGATTAAGGGAAAGAAAAGTTGGAAGTGGATACATGAGGAACACCTTGGCTGTGAAATCAACATGAACAAAACAGAGACAAGAACACTGAATGCTTCTAGAAGTGGTGCCCTGAAAAGGACATTCATACCCTGTGCGATTCACTGGCCACAAATGTTTCACTTTGATCTGATTATGAGGCAACACCAGACAGACAAAATGAGAATATTCTATTTTACAAAAAGTGTGTATATATGTGACTGATTCTTTCAAAATTTTGTCACTTAAATTAAGATTATTTTTATTTCACACATAATAACTGTACATATTTGTGAAGCAGAGTGTAATTTTTCAGTATATGAATATGATGTATAATGATTAAATCAGGGTAATTAGCATGAATAGTTTGAAAAATTTAAAAAGTAACAACAACAAAAAATCTGTGATAGGAATGTAAATTGTCTAGCACAGAAACTTGTATCAGGTGTGTGTGTGGTTGTAAGTGACTGAAAACTTGACCAGAGGCTTAAGCATATAACACATTTATTTTTTAAAAAAATTTTTGAGAGGTTTTTGCTATAGGGCATGTGCACTCACCAGACAGACAGAGAGAGACAGAGAGACAGAAAGTGAGAAATTACCCCCCAGGGGGGATGGCCATGCCACAATCCCTTCTCCTCCATTCTCCTCTCAGGATCTTGGGCAAGAATGCACATACGCTCGATGTGAGTTTAAGCTGCCGGGTCCAGAACTCGAACCAGGGTCGACTACATGGGAGTCCAGTGACATAGCCATTATGCCAATTGCTGGTCCCAATATAACGCATTTATAATGTACAATGAGGTAAAAAGTTTTAATGTCATTAAAGACAAAGCAAGGCTGTGGAAATTCTCCAGACAAAAAAGGATAAAAAGATATATGACAAATACAAAATCTGACTCTGGACTAGAACCTGTTTTGGAGGGGGAAATAGGTTCTGATCAACTGACAACTGAAATATAGGTAACAGGTTGAAAAAAACATTTTATCAATTTCAAATTGATAAAGTTGATAACTATATGGTAGTTTTATAAAAGAACATTCTTACTATTGGAAAATACACATTGAAATCTTAAGAGATAAAGAATCATAATGTATATAACTTAGTCTCAAATTGTCTATTAAAGATATATATGATATTATTTTATGATTTCTATCACTATTTTTACAAACGTGGGTAAATAACGCAAATCGTAGAAACATTTAACACTTAGGTTATCTAGGTAAAGGCTATATAGTTTTTTTTTTTTTTACTTTTTTGTTTTTGCAACTTTTAGAAATTTTGTACAAATAAAGTGTTTTTAAAACCCTACATTGTTGTAAAAACACAATATGCCTTTCGGGTTTATATGGATGTATTAATTCAGTAATGGTCTCAGAGGCTTTTAATACTAAATCAAAGTGACAGGACTGTTGGAAAGTAGTAATGTTATCACTTCATAGTCACAATCCATTTGACTTAATATTAACAGCCTTTAAAGTTATCATGCTAGTTTTAAGTATACGTGTAGTTGTAAATATACAGTTATGCACCATACAATGGCATGTCAGTCAATGAGAGACCACATTTACAATAATTATAATGGACCTGAGAAATTCTTATCACCTAGTGCTGTCATAGTTATTGTAAGGTGCAACACATTAATCACATGTATGTGGTGATGCTGGTATATACGAACCTACTGAGCATCCAGTCATGTAAAAGTAGAGCACATATAATTACTTGATAATGATAGTAAAGGACTACGTCACTAATTTATGTGCTTATTCCTATTTTATGTTCTTTTAGAGTATATTCTACTTGAAAGAAAAATGGTTTGCTGTAGAGCGGTAAGCTGTGTTACACCAGCAGCAGCCTTCTCTATCTCATGTTCATCGTATCTCTTGATGGCATCATTTTCTCTTGTGCTTAATTTAATCTCATGCTGTTTTGTTGTCATCGTGGCTCTTTGAGTGGGACAGAATGTGGAGGTGGAAGACAGTGAAGTGAATGATTTTGACTCTATGTAGGCCTAACTAATGTGTCTGTGTCTTAATTTTTAACAAAAAAAGTTGGAAAGTTTTTAAAAAGTAAAAAAAAAAAAAAAAAAAAAAGTTAGGCCTCTGTAGCACAGTGGTTAAACACTGGGTGCTTGCACTGGCCCCATAGCCTAGTGCTAGATCCTACTTCACCAGCTGGTGTGAACCCCAGCTCCAGTGGCTTGAAAAATGCACTGGACACATGTGTGTACATGCCCCAAATCCCAGTGGGCAGGAAAAATGAAGGAAAGGGATTACGGTATGACCACATCTGACTTGGGTGTCCCAGCATGCTTTTCAAGTCACTAAGGCAAGAACTTAAACACTGGTTGGTCATATGGGGTCCAACTTCCTCAGTGCAGAGTTTAACTGCTACACTACAGGGCTGACTCTACTAAACCTTTTCTATTTTAAAAATATATTTAGATACACGAATACTTACGACTGTGTTACAGTTGCCTACAGTATTCAATATAGTAGTATCCTGTACATGTCTGTAGCCTACAAGCAATCGGCTATATAAACCACAGAGCCTGTGTGTATCATCCAGGTTTGTGTAGGTATATTCTATGACATTCGCATAGTGATGAAATTGCCTAACAACGCATTTCTCAGAACCTATCCCCATCATTACGCAATGCATGACTGAATATATTTGATATGCAAAAGTTGTTCAAATATACTACTTTTTAAAGGCTGGTGCCTTAGCCTAGTGGTTAAGGCAGCCAGATCCCATATGGCCAACCACAGTTCAAATTCTGGCTCTGTGACTTGAAAAAACACACCAGACATGTATGTTCCCAAAGTCTCAACAGGATAGAAAAATGGAGAACGGATTGTAGCATGACCCTGCCCTGCTGGGGGGTGCTTTATCTCCCTCTCTTCCTCTAATCTCTGAAAAGCATATGTACCTTCTTGTAGTTAAAAAAGTTTATCTGTTTATTTCTTCTATGAGAGAAGGATTCAGAGATAAGGCATCCCTTCTTTTTATTTGAGAGGTTTTTGTTATGGGGCGTGTACGCTCACCAGACAGAAAGACAGAAAGCGAGAAATCACCCCCCAGGGAGGATGGCCACGCCGCAATCCCTTCTCCTCCATACTCCTCTTGGGATCTTGGGCATGCACGCACACGCACAAGGCATGAGTTTAAGTCACCGGGTCTGGGACTTGAACCACGGTCGACTACGTGAGTCCAGTGACACAGCCATTATGCTAACTGCTGGTCCCACGATAAGGCATGCCTTCTTTTTTTTTTTTTAAGTTTATTTATTTATTCATTTTTAATTTGACCAGAGAGAGAGAGACACCCAGAGAGAGAGAGAGAAAGTGAGAAAGCAAAGCAACAGGTCCAGGACTTGAACCATGGTTGGCCATGTGGGAGTGTCCAGCACCTTAACTACCAGGCCACCTGCTGGTCCCCAAGGCATCCCTTCTAAGGTCTTCAATCTACCTACAACCTCAGCCAGCCTACATCCCTGGCACGCATGCGTGTGCATGCACGCGTGCATGAACACACACACACACCTGGTGTGCTGAGATGTCCCAGGATAAAAACCCAGGAACTTTCCCATGCAGGTCTAGCTGCACCACAGTCATGCCAATGTTGAGCCCCCAGATATACTACTGAAAGAAATCAGCATATAAAATATTGGATCATTGGGACCAGCAGTTGGTATAAAGGCTATGTCGCTGGACTCCCATGTAGTCGACCGCGGTTGGAGTCCTAGACACGGTGGCTTAAACTTATGCCGGGAGCGTGTGTGTGCATGCCCAAGATCCTGAGAGGAAAATGGAGGAGAAGGGATTGCAGCATGGCCATCCCCCCGGGGGCAATTTCTTCCTTTCTGTCTCTCTGTCTCTGTCTCTATCTTTCTGGTGAGTGCACACGCCCTACAGCAAAAACCTCTCAAAAAAAATTGGATTATCAGAAAAATCCTGATGCATTTTTGCACAGAAAAGTACATCGTGACTTTTCCAACAGTCCAAAAGTATGTATAATTTTACCCTTTTAAAAAAATTATATATACAAAGGTCTGGAAAAATACAAATATTCATAGTCATTATCTTTGGATGATAGACTACAAGCGACTATACTCTTTCCATCTTGCTTATCTAAATTTTCTATTATTTTTCTTGTCACAAATGTGTGTTATTTGAATAATAGAGGGAAAAAACCCTAAAGTGATTAATTTAAAATGAAAATGATCTTAAGTCAAACTCTTACAGTAATAATTCCTGCCTTCCTTTATCTACTAACTCTGTTATCTAAATGTAATTCTTGGTTCAGCCACAGTGCACAGCCATAGTGCAATGCTGGAAGCTATGAGGAAGATCAGGGTTCAGATCCTGGGTTGACCTGTACTCACCAAGTATATGTGCCCAAGATGCGGGCTGGCTGGGAAAAGCTGGAGATGGGGGAGTCACAGCATTAAAATCTGTTGATGGTGTGTATGTGTGTGTGTGTGTGTGTGTGTGTGTGTGTGTGTGTGTCTCATAAAAAGAAATAAGTAAATTTAATAATAAAAATTTAAAATGTAATTATTTACTGTAATGATAGGAATGAGAGTTCAATATTTTTTTATTTCAAGTCTCTGACCCCCCAGATAAAATACTGAAAAACCACATAAGAAAAATAAGAAATGTTCTGTTTGCTCTTAAAATTATGAACAGAGAACATTAACATAAAATATACTAACAAGTATGTGCTAGTGTTCATATTAACCCTAATATGAAAAATAAAGGAGAAGCAAGGATTCACAGGAAAAAGAGGGAAAGTTTTTTTGACCAGGAGAATAAAAGACATCCAAAAGGACCCAGACAGCAAGACACTTACAGAGGACAGGAGTGAATGGCTGTTCACACTTGGGAGCCAGGTGGGACTAAATTTCCCAAAGACACAGCTGGGCTATGTGGATCAGGGGACTGAGGGCAAATCCTCTTGTTTATAATGTCATTGAACAGTACACTTCTCACGTCACTCTCCCCCATCCCCGCCCCTGATGATTAGGAAACAAGCTAACTTCAGCTCAACAGAACTTCAGTTTGATCAGATTTAAAAACAAAACAAAACAAAAAAACTAGAGAGATTTAACTGCAAATGAGCAGAGTATACATTCCCCAATAAGAATCTGCACCTTCCAAATCTCAATTCATGCTTGTTTCAGGGAGACATTTCTTTTTTTTTTTTTTTTTTTTTAAAGGTACTGGGACAGGTCTCTCTGAAGGCTCAAGTGAAGCCCTGCTTCCAGTTCTTAATGACTGAATGACGGAGTGTCCCTGATTGCTTCAGTTTGTATAAGGAGGATATCTTCCTTAACACACTAAATTGTTGGAAAAGTTAAGTTAGTTGTAGTGAATGTACTTGGTATAGTACAAAGCATCATTAAAAAATATTACCATATCTTTATTAATAAACCTGTCCATATCAATCACTTCAGAAAAGTAGTATATTGTGGATAAGGGCTCTTTTTTTTTTTTAAATCATAATTCAATTTCACTAAAAGTTTATTTCATGAATAAGTCTTTACCATACTTAGAAGACTGTCAAGGTTCAAGTCCTCCTAGATCTCTAAGAAGCTTTAATCTTCCTAATAGAGATCACCACCAGACTAGAGAAATAATTGCCATATAATGAGAAAGAAGATTATTCTAGTTACTGAAAATATAGACACTAGACATTTAAGATGCAGGTGCAGCAAGGGCTCTGAGAATATGCACGAAAACATGCAAAGAAGAGTGAATACTGCCTCACACTTGAGCACCTCAGATCTTTGCAAGGCTTACTTATTCCATGCTAAAAAGTGTTAAGAATATACATGGTGGGGGCCAGCAGGTGACATGGTGGTTGAGGCACTGAGCTTTCACATGGCTGACCGCCAGTCAAGTCCCAAACCCAGTGGCCCAAAAATCACAACAAATAAATAGATAAATAGATAAATAAATGTTAATTAAGAAAAGAATAACATCCTTTTTCTATATAGTAAACATGACATAGACACAAAAGAGTGGGATTAACTTCTCAACCATAATATATTTTTTATGCCTAAATAAAGTCATATTCTTATGACCTGTAGGAAAAAAAAAAAAGTTCTACCCTGAAGGTGTCGTTAAACACATAAAAATCATACAGGTTGGTCCAGCTGCAATGTGCACTGTTACACAATACTGGAGACCTCTTGGAGGTTGTCGATTTGGATCCAGGGTCCCAGCTGGCTGGAAAGCTGGAGGGGAGATTACAGTATGGCAAGACCCTGACAGGGGTACTGGTGCCTACTGTGTCTGTCTATCTCTTTTTTCCTTCCCCCGTGGAAGAAATAAACAAACTTGGATGGGTGTACAACCCACATATTCATTTTTCAAAAAAAGTGTGTCTAGACCAAATGTGTATCCTTAGAAATCAAAATAAAACTTTTCATACCTTACCAAATAATTAAGAACCACCGTCCAAGTCATATAAAGATAATGCTTTCAGAATTTTTCAGCTACTTACAATATCATATATTTCTCGGTCATCCTCATCAGCTAAGGTCAACAGTGCTACCAATGGATAGCGTGATCTAGGCACTGTACCAAAGTCTTCGATTTTAGTGTCTCCTGGCAACTGGCAATATATTTCTTCTTTTCTGTCTTTTTTAATACTTTTTGAAAACGTAAAGGTAAATTGTCACTATAATCAAAAGGACAAAAACATGCCAAAAATGATCAACAGCATAGCGATGCTTTATTTTACCCATGAAAAGTCTAATCTTCAAGTGATAATGAGTTTATCAGATAAAAGGATACAAATATTGTTCTTGATGAAGATATTCGCTGTACAGAGCATCTTCTAATGCTTGGGGAGTGCTTATTCTGAAGCAATAAACATGCTTCTGCAGAGCTTCATATAATTTTTGAACACTGCATCCCCAGTAGCATGTAAGGAGGCTATCTTCAAGACAATCTGTTGTCAAGGTTATGCCAGCTGAGAAAGAGAATGAGAATTACCTGCTATAATGTCTAATACAATTTCACTGGATGAGTAATGAAAGCTTTCTTGTGGATAGGCCAGACCAATGGCAGTTGCAAGAACTTGTTAAAGGGTATGCCCTACAAATGCCTCTCTAACAAGAGATATAAAAACCCCAATATCCATGCAATTTTTGATGGCTTTTGATAAACTGTTATTACTTACATATTTAAACTTGGAAATGATCAATTTAATGCTCTTTTTTGGTGGCTGTAAGAGTTTTCCAGCATACATTTTAAAAACTAAAATACAGTTCACAATTAATAATGCATACTCTCATAATGTATATAATCCCAAGTACTAGAAACAATTCGGTAGAAGAGAGCTGCCCCCAAAGGTGAATACGCACAACCCATGGGGTTCACATGATGTTCTCTGGAGTAAGAAAAATAGAAATTGAGCTTTACTGATATACAGTTAACATTAACATACCGTCTTGTCACACACTTAATGTCCCATGTAATGTGCAAAATATCCTAAGGAAATGGTAGGGATCAAAATGTGGGGGGTTTAACAGCAATATCTTTATTTGTTTGTTTGCTTACAATGTAAAAAAACACATTCCAATTTAAGTAGACCCGATTAAGTAGATACACACATTATAAGTGAGTAAACAAATTAGTTTTACTTATTACTTTAACATGTACATAGGACTTACCATGCACCATCTATGTGATCTTCCCCCCCTTACTAGTGACATCTGTAGCAATGTCAAGTTCAAAGGTAGCAATATCCAGTGTCTACACTGCAGATAGTGTGAACTGCAACATTTAGGACTTCTGGGCGGTGGTTTACTGACCAAACCAAGAGGCACAATTTTGCTCACTGAACAATCTTGGTCTTTGACTCTGACTTTACTCACCCACCGGCAATTCTGTAAGCTATCCAATATCCTTTTATTGAAACTCTTTCTGTTGCTTGCTAGTGGGAATTGATATATCACCTAGTTTGTTAAAATGTGACCAAGCGTATGTGTTTGAAGAAGATACACAAAAGTGAGCAGATGTCCCACAAATTGCCAAAAATTGTTCGAGTGTTTCACTTTTCTTTTCAGTATTTTGTAGTATGTACACAGAGCCTGAAATTCTGAGTAGGAGCAGTGACACAGGGCTTTTTGGTTTTTAGGTTTTTGTCATAGGGCATGTGCACTCTCTACAGACAGAGAGGGGGAGAGAGAGAGAAGTGGGAAGTCACCTCCTGGTGGGATGGCCACACTACAATCCATCTTCCTCTATGCTCCTGTTGGGATTTTGGGTGTGCACATGCTCCTGGCAAGATTTTCAAGCCACCAGTCCAGGACTTGAATCTAGGTCAGCCATGTAGGAATCTAGTGCCTTAACCATCATGCCACCTGCTGGTCCCCAACATAGGGCCATTTCTAACATAAATTTATTTGGTAAGAACTTTGCATAGAATATCTGTATAAAATTTTTATATGATTCCAATGATCAGATATTAATTCAAGAATGGAAAATTACATTAGCCATTAAGGAGCTAAAAAACAAATACTCCATTAATACAAATTTATACATACGCATATAACCATTATATATTTTTCTTTATATCACTGTAGAATCCCACAGGATGAGACAGGATGAAAAAGTTGGAAGTAGAAAAGAAAGGGATAAATATTAAAAAAAAAATAAAAAAGGAAAAAGAAAAAAGAAAAAAAAGTATCATTTAATATTATTATATTACTGGCAAAATGTGGAAAGATATAAGTCTATTCATTATATCATCAGTTATCATAGCAAAATGCTGAGATCAATGCAAATGTCCATCGATAAAGATAAAATGAATAAAATAAGATACTCTACAAGGAAGTATTATGCAGCTATTAAGAAAGAATTAAGGGCCAACTCTGTAGCATAGTAGTTCCGGGAGCCAGATTCCACATAGCCCACAGCAGTTTGAATCTTGACTCCTACGGCTTAAGAAACATACCAGGTGTATGTGCATACATGCACAAAATCCCAACGGGATAAAAAAATAGAGAAGGGACTGCAGCATGATCATGTCCCTACTGGGGGCACTTTCTTCCTCTCTCTCTGCCTCTCGGCAAGTACACACATCCTGAGAGAATTAAAAAACAGATACATAAAGAAAGGAGGTTGAGCCCCTCTCACACAGTAGTAACGTAAACGTCATGCAGGCCTGGAAGCCATTTGGATGAAGGTGGGTTTAAATCCCTAGGTCGGCCTGAAGATATGCCAGGGATATACATGAGGGCACCCAGGATCCCGCAAAGTTAGAAGGCAGGAGAAATAGAGAGGATGGTGGCGTGAAAAGTCTCTGTTGAGGGTGCTTCTTTCTCCACCTCCCCCCACCACTCTTGCTGGTACACGCACACTTCATCACAAAACACACACACACACACACACACACACAAACAAACAAAAAACAAATTGAGGCACATGTTGTTAGAATATCTGTACATACTATTATGGAATGATCTTCAGACTATATTGTTACATGAGGAATATAAAATAGTGTTTATCTCACAAGAGAGAATACTTATATATACATATGTACATCAAAAATAAATAAAAGGATAAGCCTTTTAAAAACAAACAAAAAATCCTTTATTTAGAGAACGTATAAAGCCATCACGTTTATTTGCTTTGTAAAAATCAGTTCTGGGCCAGCTGATGGCATGGTGGTTAAGGCAGCTGGATCCCACGTAGTTGACTGCACTATTTGAGTCCTGGACCTGGTGACCTAAAAAACATGCATGCCCAAAATCCCCAAAGGAGAAATGGAGAAGGGACTGTGGTATGACCATTCCCCCCTGGGGAGAACTTTCTCACTTTCCTTCCCTCATTCTGTTTCTCTCCACTGTGCACATGACACTCTAGCAAATTTTTAAAAATAAATAAATAATGGGGTCACCAGATGGTGTAATGGTTGGACTCCCACATGGCCGACAGAGTCTTGAAACTCATGCGAGGTGTGTGTGCATGTGCACTCAAAATCATGAGAGAAGAATGGAGGAGAAGGGATTGCAGCATGGCCATCGCCCCTGGGAAGTGATTTCTTGCTTTCTGACTCTGGGGAGCGCATGTGCCCAATAGCAAAAATTTCTCTAAAAATCACTAACTAGTCAGTTCCAGAAATTAGTAGTTGCATAAAATACTTGCTTTCAGACTTTGTATACTAACTAAAAGGGGAAGAGTTTCAGAGACCACTGACAATTAGATATTACTGAGACTTTAATATGTTTCAGAATCTATAAAATTCTACTCTCTACAATCTTTCATAAACTGAGAAGAGAATGTATTGATTTATACTGCCTGATGATAGTTTAAATACTATTTACTCAAAAATGATTCTTTCTTTAGTTGTTCCTAGTTCTTCTGCAAAGAGTTCCCATTTTTATATTTTCTTAATCTTCTGAAATCCAGTGCACAGACAAAACTATCTTAGATCAATAGCTTTAACAGAATTGGCACACAGCTGCAAGCCAGAAAATTCAGAATGAAAATTAAATGAAGTGGTATGTATATGAACTCTCAGCCTTTTGTAACAGGCAAATGAAGAGTGTAAGAGACAGCAGTGTAAACTGTTTTTAAGAATAAGTCTAAGAGCCAGCAGGTGGCATGGTGGTTAAGCCACTGGAATCCCACATGACTGACTCAGGTTCAAGTCCTGGACCTGGTGACTTTACTTTCTTCCCCTCCCCCCCCCCGCCCCCTCCCTCT